ACCTATTCATGTCTGGTTCGACTCCTCCGAACTCTTAGGAGCGATGGTGGCCATGCAGGACAACCAAGTGGTATTCAAAAAGCAGTGGAAATGGTCCACTCAAGAGCGAGCCTTGCACATTAACGTGAAGGAACTCACTACTGCCTACAATGCTCTCTCTACTCTTGTCTCCTTCGAGCTCGATACCAATAAGAAGTTCTCGAAGATCATCCTCTACGGCGATAATCGTACAGCTAATGCTGCCCTAGCCTCTGGTAAGGTCTGCACTTCTGGTAAGCAATCTACTCTACTTCAACGAGCTATCGACCTTATTCATTACCTTATGGGAAGACGCCAGTTTGAAATTCACTATGTGGCCTCTGCCGAGAACCCTGCTGATGCCGGCACAAAGTGTGACCTCTACAGCGATTTGGTTAAATACCGTGATTCTATCGACGGTGTAAGTCTCGAGATTCTGTCTGACGATGATACCTCAGATATGAACACTGTTCATGTTGCTAGAATCATACGTAAGCGTGGTGACGTGGACGAAGACACCAACGAGATCGGTGACAAAAGACCACGACTTGAACCACCACTACGAGTTCCCACCAATCCATTACCACCCCTACAACGACCACCCTATTTGGACATTTCAATAGACGGCGGGGCCCAATCTGATTCTGACGACTCGCTGCTACCCTTAAGACCTCTTGCTGCTGCTGGGGATCCTGCCGGAATCCGAGTGGTTTCGAGTGGCTGCTTTGACTTCGCCCCACAGGCTGGCCCGCATAGGCCCATTGGGGAAGACGAGCAGTTGACGAGAGGCCACGAAGACTTCCACCTCCCCGTGCAATGTGACTCTGTCATGCAGCCATGTGACGATGCCGGTTCCGTTGATTGTGTACATGCCGCTCGCTCTAGTCAAAGACCCCTACCTGAACTCTGCCTCAAACTTCGGGTAGCAGACGAATTTGACATAGCGGCTATAGTCGACTGTGGTGCCGGATTCAGCTACTTACTCTGCTCTTCTGTTTGTGCTACTCTTTCGACGTGGGGCTTAGAGACTTCAAGCCTCTGCCAGATATCCCATACCGTCAAGCTGGCGGATGGCGAGCTCCGGGATGTTCACCAAGCACTAGAAGTACCGGTCGTGTTGAGAGATCTAGATAACTCGCCTGTTATTGATGATATTGTCTCCGTCCGTGTACTAGAGTCGGTCACCAGACAGCCCTTCTTGCTTATTGGGCTTGACTTGATTCAAGCTTGGGATTTACGGGTATTTGGAGCGTCGAAGGTCACTACTGCTACAGGCAAGCTGTTGTTCTCATCGCTACCTGCTGATCAACTGGCCTTGTCAACCGAGTTCATCTATGATGTGAACAGCCTCCTCAATGTCGACGATACCTTCAAGGAAACAACTTGCACAACTTCGGTGGCGGTGCAACCAGATCCAGCTGTCATTGCCTTCGAGACTCAGCTCGAGCCTACCATTGCCGATGAGTTACGCCTTTGGCTTGCGAACCTTGCCAGGAGAAGCAAGCGACAATTTGGCAGTGCTGAATCTGGATCCTATGGTATACAACTGCACTTCTTACCGAGCAATGCGCCCAAGGATACTACCCTGCAGACCCATTATTCCGAGCTATCCATTCCCGAGCCCAAGAGTCCCACCATCGTGCACCGGTCCTATGCCAGACCCCTGTTTCGCCGTCTATCCGATCAGTACAAGGCAGTCTATGAGAGCCTCATTCGAGGATATCTCTCGAGAGGCTGGTGAAGAGCTCTGAAGGATAGTGATGCCCGTGTTGGAGATCTACTCCCGGCTGAGATCTTCTTGCTGGGCGCTAAGCCTGGAGATGTTCGCAAAACCT